GCAACATAAAAAATTAACATATGCACGTGCATTTCCATTCTTTTATTCTTGAGTATCTAAAATGGAATAATCATATTCCATCTATTTTCATAATCCTTGAACTGAACTGATAAAATCAAACGGATCGACGAGCACACCTGTTCCTCGTACGTTCCAAGTGACTCAAGTTAGGTGACTGTGAAATTTTCTTTAAAGATTTCCAAACCACCGGGCCTGAAGTAACCGGGGATTCCATTTGTGTGTAAACCGTGAGACAAGTATTGAATGGTGATATAGTTCATGAAATAGTTTTTTAGAATACTACCTTTTTTTTAGTTTCGTTGAAAAGAAACGAAAAGATTAACACTATTGTACCGTAAGCCCGTGGTATCACTCCGGGCAAGCTAGCCCATTTCATACGGATGAATATTATATAAGTAGGTATACAGTAATTTTCGACGGGCCTATTCGTCTAGTGGTTAGTGACCCTGACTGCTAAGCCAGAGGTCGTGGGTTCGATTCCCACCCAGGACAAATATTGTGTGATGAACACGGTCATTTGTTCCGTGTCTGCGTGTAATGTATGTATTTAAAAATATATTTGTATGTTTATCAGCAGTCTGGTTACCATAGTACATGCTCTGCCTAGTTTGGGATCAGACTGCCGTGTGTGTGATGTGTGAAGTTATTATTATTATTATTTATACAGTGCAGTACAGTATACATATGAGAATCAGCGCGCAATCGTGCTTTTGAATTGTTTGTGTGAATTGCAAAAGAGTGGCCATGAGTTTGTTTGCCCTTTCTTCTCATAAGGCTCAACCCCTTGGAAACGGGCGGTTGTAGATCGGCACAGGCATATCATAGATTTTGTATGGGTTTGATTTTTGTTAAATTTATTTGCTTACTATTTGACAAAACAGAGATTGTTGCTTTTGTGTGTGTTGATCTATGACTTTAGAGTCTACATGGAAGACGATTTCAAACAATTTTGGAAATTTTATGAAATAAAGAAAGTTTGAGTTTGAGTTTGAGTTTGAAAATTTCACTAGTTTGTACTAATCGTAGTCACAGTGACGTTTGACTAGGAATCTTAATACTATTAAAGTTTGAATGAATATTTGTAACTCAATTACACCTGAATGGCTAAATGAATCTGGATGAATTGTGTCACAGATACGGAAACCGACTTATTACTCAGTAATATAATAATAACACAACTTCCCATTAACTTATTTATAATACAATTTACTTTTTTTTGTGATAAAACTTCTATACCCAATATTCAGAAAATTGGCAATCTATCACCATCTAAATCATAACCAATTTATGGAATAGTTTTTTGCCTGCAGTATTTCCGTATCAATACGACCTTCGAAACTCCACAAAATGAATGCGTCCATAGCCGGTGCATAGCTGGTCACATAGATGACTTATCTAATACTTTGTCATAAAAAAGAAAACAAAAATATCATCAACCTATACTGAACACTCCAAGGAACTACAGGAGTAAATCAGACGAGCTGTGAAATGTTTTAAACATTATGTTCAAATCACTGACTTGAAAGAACTTCTGAAGTGTTTTAGTGGTTTTGAAAATTATTTAAGTTACTGATTTAACTTTACATACATACATATATTGTTGTGCTACTTTTTGCCTTACTATAAACTAATAAATTATGAAACAAATTGTTTACTTGGCAGATCATAAATTAGTATCCTGTTCTAGATGCATAATTTGATATTTTCCTAATGTTATACTAACTATTGAGCTTTCGTTTTCTATGATATAGAGTTATGTACGCCAATTAACTAAGTGAGCGGTAACATAATAAGTATTACATAGGTGTGAATTGCCTGACATTTCGACAGAGATACACTCACAGGCTCACTGTGATTATTGGTGCAGCAACGTCGAACGGCGCGATGAAGTATTTATGTATACTCGAATGCTCAGAAAACGTCGTCAAACTGTAATATTCATCTTACTATATTGTTTACTTGTTGTAGGAATGAAACACCACTTTTTTGTGTAAATCTAGGTAGCTTAACATTGATAACTGTATGCGTTACGAAATTTCATAGTAATATAGGTCCGGCAGGAGTTTTGAACACCATTATTACTTCGGTGCTCTTTGAGTCGCTCGGTTTCTCAGCAGACAAATGTTGGAAGAAGTTTTACGTACTGTGCTAGAAGCAGACGCATTATCGGCACTAGGTAATAGTTGCGAAGTAAATTTTTTTAATAAGTACTAATACATTAAACATTTACGTTAGGATACTTACTTCTTTGAACATTGTTTCTAATTTATTTCTTTGTATTTGATAAATAATCTAGTAGTACAGAAGGCACAAGAAGTTGTGGGGTAGTAATGTCTTTGTAGACTATGATCATAAAGCAGACGATGAGAAATCATGTGCAAATCTGGAACAATAACCTAGATTATTCGGATCAGATTACTAAGCTTTTTAGAAAGACACGTGAAAAAACTATATGCACTAATATAATTACGAATTCCGCGTAATCTAGACCTAGTTTAAGATTATTAGAAATCAAGAAAATGATTATCCTGTGGCAGGATTTAGGTAAGTTAAACCTTAACAACAGTTATCTTAACGTTAAAATAATATAAAAACATAGTGTAAAAATTTAATTACTATCATTGGTTTCTTACCCTTATCCTTATTATAAATGGAAGTCATCGCAATAGGACCGCAAATGGTATTCAAATATTATATATATATATAATATAATATGGTGACCAGGTGACCCGTCTGCTCGTTTGCCCCCGTATTATTTTATTCCATAAAAAAATGAAAAAAAAACGTAAAAAGTATTGGACACGACAAGATCTTTATCAAGGGTTGAGATACGCCGTAGGTCGCTACACATATTTGTTTCCTATATTTCTTGAATAAAACCGTGTATTCGTCCATACTTTCCGTACTTGTATTGTAAAAGTGGACTTTGTTTATATGTTAAGCTTTCACCCTTTTTAAAACAATTTTAAAAATTCTTTCAAGAATGGAAAACTACATAATCGGCGAGTATAATAGGCTACTTTTTATATAATTTTTTTTATATAAAGACGCGAGCTGAAAAGAAATGAGTAAAATTGAACTCGATTCAATTTGGAAGTTGGTTTTCGGTTTATTCTGCATTGCACTAAGGGTTTTGAAATCTGTCAACATTGTTTTCGTATAGAGTTATCTATATTTGATAAAATCTCTTTGCATGTACCAATGTCTTAAACTCAATAGATTTCTAGTATTATTCTAAATGAGACGACAGAATTGACTTTCGTCCAGTCTGCTATTCTTGCTTAATTATGTAGAAGGTTTGTAAGTATGTGAGAAAAACCTGTTGCATGTGTTAGATTTGTTGTTAATATACCCACAGTTGGGATAAAAGTCAAGGAATAAATACTGAAAGTCAAGAATGAATTTAAACTAGAAATTTATTAATAAATAAATATATGTAAGAAGTTTTGATTATTAATTATTCAATGTTTTAAAGTAATTATTTTAGCTTCTCGAAATGAACGATGTTATAATTAAAACGATAGATTAATGCTTTAAATTCACTATTATTTATTATCATAACAACTACTAGCATTATTAGTAATTTATATAACTAATCAATTTAATACCAATAACATTGCTATTTATATATTTACTTCTTAGTTACAACAAACACTAACCTTATACATTATACTAATGTCAATGCCAATCTTCCCTAAAATAACTTAAATAGCAGAGAAATACAAATGTACAGACAAAACACTAATATTACACGTTATACTAATGTCAATGCCTGTTTACCATAAAAATAACTTATATAGCAAATAAATACAACTGTACTTAACTTATGTATCGATGTACCGTTCCGTAGCTGCCTCACAACTGAACTGCCAACGTTTTACCCTACCATATTAGTAGTTTGAAATAAATAAAAAAATCAATCAGTACAACTTCCGTTAGCAATATTCATATAAAAATAATTTAAAGTTGATAAGTGCAAATAACACAAAATAAAAATAGGTTTTTAAATTAATAATTGTTTACAAAATAAGTATATCTTGTCACGGCCATACTGACTTGTGCTTCGTTCTCGAAGTACAAAATACTACTAACATTATTAATTATAAAAATAACATTAATAATAATGTTTAAAACTAATACATTTTGTCATTGTTATAGTTTCTTTTCACATTAAGAAGACTATAACAACGGTCAGCTGCTTTGACAACAATATCATCTAGCCTCACACCTGCTGCACATGAGACAGGCTAGAACAAAGCAAAAGACTTCAGCAGTTCAACTCAATCAGTTCACCTCAATTACATTGTGAAGGTACATATTTCCTTAGAATATCAATATACATAGAGGACAATTTTGGAGTCCAAATCAAAACCACATGTTACATATTAATTATTATTAATAATATTCGACAATAAGAAAATACATAAGAAAGTTAAACATTGTTAGGCACTACATCTTCGTCAACCCACTCACCTGGCCATAGCCGCAATTTATCTTTAGCTACAGTAATGTTCCTTAAATTACGAATCCCTCTAAGTGAATATCTATCATTGGGGAGGATAGCAGTTATTTCATATGGTCCCTTGAATCTGGGACTCAGTTTATCATGCCTCCGATGATCTTGATTTACATATACTATATTGCCAATCTCAAAAACCTTATTGTCTCGTCTTACAATGTCAAATCGAGTTTTGAATTTATTTGCCTTTTGACATAAACGCTGATAAGCTAGTTCACGATCTGCCCTTAGGTCTATATTACATTCAGGTATGGGAACATCATTCAAATGTGCTTGAATACAGGGGATATTTGCATTACAACCAACGAGCAAACGAATCGGTGTAAAACCCGTAGATTTTTGGACAGTGGTGTTAATTGATTGTTGGACTTTCCACAACCCGCTTGGCCAATCTGACGAGCCGTTACAAGTGGTATTCAACATATCAATTACTGTCGCTACGTACCTCTCTGCTTGACCATTACCTCTTGGCGTGCCCGTGGCAACCATATGATGCTCTATTTGAAGCTCTCTAAATAAGGATCGAATTTGATTGCTATTAAAATTTGTACCCCTGTCAGTTAACACTTTTGACGGAGTGCCAAATAGAGTTATGGTGTCACGTATAAGAGGCACTAGCTCTTGGGCATTGAGAGTCTTGAGAGGCTTTAGCAAGCAGAACTTAGTGAATCCATCCAAAATGAGTAAGATATATTTGTAACCTTCGTTTGTTTGTGAGAACGGGCCTGTACAATCTAAATGAATTGTGTGAAATGGGATAGGAATTTTATTAAGGGGATGTAAAAAGCCTTGTTTTGGACCCGAGTGACCTTTACGCTCGATACATATTAAACAGTGTTTTAAATATTTTTTGACAAAAGCTGCCATGCGAGGGAACCAAAAATGTTCAGAAATTTTTTTCAGTGTTTTATCAAACCCCACATGACAGTTTTCATCGTGAAAAAGTCTTACTAGGCGGAATCTGAACCCTTTGGGTACATACAACTTTGATCCGTTAAATTGAACTCTATAGAATAACAAATTGTCCCGTAAAAAATATCTGTTTTCGTCAAGTTCACCAGATATGACCTGGCTAATCAAATGTTGTGTTTCCGGGTCATTTTGCTGAGCAACTTCTAACCAAGACTGGGGGTCCTCTATCAGACAAACTTGTTTACTCGTATATACACTTTTGGAATCATTTAAGGATGTGGCGTTTTCCGAAATTATTTCAGATTGGTGTGCTAGAGAGTTTGATACCAGTATTGTTGGGCTGACAGTAACGGGGGACTCTACAGGATTGCGGCTGAGGAAGTCGACGTGGCCTATATATTTACCCTTTTTATATATAATTTCAAACTCGAAATCTTGTAAAAATGTCCACCAACGGGCAACACGAGGAGTTAGATCCTTTTTGTTCATTGTGGCTTTGATGGAATTGCAATCGGTAAAATTTTTAAATTTAAGACCTAATAGATATACTCTAAAATGCTTTAATGCGTTGTAGATTGCTAAAGTTTCCAAATCATAAGAGCAATACTTAGACTCTGCGAGTGAAGTTCTTTTACTAAAGTAGGCTACGACTTTCTTGACATTTTCTTCTCTTTGTACTAGTATTGCTCCATATCCTAATGAACTGGCATCAGTGTAAAGTTCTGTCTGCAATTTTGGATCGAAAACAGTAAGCAAGGGTTTCGTGGACAAATGTCTTATAACATAATTCCTAGCCGCATCCTGTTCAGGACCCCATTCCCATTTTGTGTTATTTTTGGTCAAATTGGTAATACAAGATGTGCGAGTAGCAAAAGCCGGAATGAATTTGCGGAAGTAACTTGCAAGACCCATAAACTGACGTACCTGTTTTACGTTACTAGGGATGGGAGAATTTACTAGGGCGGTCACCTTTGTCTCACTGGGTCTCACTCCCCCTTGTGATATAGTTCGACCTAGATACTCAATGCTTTCAACAAAAAACTTACACTTTTTTAGATTTATAGTAAATCCTGAATTGCATAAAGCCTGAATAGTCAGCTCTAAATATTGAAGACCCTCCTCTATGGTTAAAAAAGGAATAAGAATATCATCTATGTATACTACAATAAACTTTAAGTGATGAACAGCTTTTGTGATGGCTCTTTGAAACACAGACGGTCCATTACAAATACCAAATGGCAATTTTCAGAAATTCGTAATGGCCATCCGGTGTAACAAAAGCCGTGTATTTTATAGAGTCTGATGAAACGGGTATTTGGTAAAAACCATTTTTCATATCTATAGAAATAAAGAATTTTGCTTTACCTAGCCTGTCTATTTGGTCTTCAATGAGAGGGAGTGGGTATCTATCCTTTTCTACAATTTTATTTAATGATCGATAATCAACACATAATCTATCGCTGCCATCTTTTTTCTTTACTAATATTACCGGATTTGCAAAAGAGGAGTCACTTTCACGGATTATGTTTTGTTTCAAAAGTTCTTGAACAATTTTATTAACCTTCTCTCTCTCTATCGGTGCTAGGCGATATGGACGGTAGTTAACTATCTCATTTTTAACCAAAGTTAATCTTAATTCGCCGGTTTTCACAGTACTGGTTTCATCCAAGACAGAAGGGTATTTTGTGAAAATAATTTTTATTCTTTCTTGTAATGCTGAATCTAAATGTTTGATTTTAGAAGTTAATTCACTTAATTCGGTCGAAGTAGTACATATGTTTACTTCTGCCTTGGTTTCAACCGCCTTTCTAGAGAAACGGCTTCCTAAAGAATCGGTGATAATCTCTATATCTGGGTAGTTGACAGCGTTTCTACCTATGAGTAGATTATAATGAAAATCATAATCCCTGACAACATGTACATCAAGTTCTATACTAACACCTTCACATTGAATGACCACAGTAATTATAGCAAAAGCATGGATTTTATTAAGTCCTATTCCTCTTAAATACATGGATATTGGTGAAAAATGGCATCCGAGTCGTTTTGCAATTGATTCTTTTATTAAACTACAATTTGCTCCTGTATCTATCAAGGAATCAATGGGTATACCATTAATAAAAACACGTGTCAGATTTAGTTCGGCTTTTCTAAAAAATTTACTTCCTTAGTAGGGACGACAGTTATTGAAGCAGCGCTGGATGATTCTGCTCGCTGCTTATAATAGCAAACTGCCTCGGTATGGCCAACCCTTTTGCAATAAGTACAGATTTTCGTACGAAATTCAGTAGGTTTAGGGAATTGAGGAGTTTGATTAAGAATCCTTGAAGAAGAGTGACCTGACTTACTTTTTGGACACTGAGATTGCAAATGGCCGACTTGGTTACAAGCAAAACATTTCCTTTCACCGTTGAGCTTTGGGCGTTTAGCTGATGATGGGCCCGAATCAGTATTTTCTAAGGCTCTCTTTTTGGTTTTTATGTATATTGAAAGAAGAGAGATAAGAGCAGAAGTTGTAGTTACGCCATTATTTAGAGAGGCCATCCTTACATCAACATCACTAATACCCCCACAAATTAATTCGATCAATTGTTCATCGGTGAAGGCGATTTTAGTGTTCCGAAATAACCTCAGTTTTTCTCTCGCATATTCTCCGTAAGAGTCCGCGGAGTCTGAATTATATAATACTGCCTTACTGAGTTTTTCGGACAAGTTTTTCCTTTCAGGAAAGGCATCGATGATATCAGCACGAAACTTTTCCCAGGATCTGCCTTCCGAAGGTTCCCATGATTCAAACCACGTCAAGGCAGAACCCTTCAGGGCCTTACCAGCTTTAGCTGCAGTCTTGATACTGCTCCACTTCAATTCCGATGCAAGTGTCTCGATACTGCAGCACCAGTTCTTAGCTCCACAGTCGTTTTTATCCGGGTCAAATAGTGGCAGAGCGATGTCATCATCCTTCTGATGTGTTGTTGAGACAGCGTCCCGGATCGCCTTGAGGAGTTCACTGATCACTTCAGAATCCATCCTAAAATAAAATATTTATTACTAGGAGCTGGAAATATCCCACTTCTGATGTTAGATTTGTTGTTAATATACCCACAGTTGGGATAAAAGTCAAGGAATAAATACTGAAAGTCAAGAATGAATTTAAACTAGAAATTTATTAATAAATAAATATATGTAAGAAGTTTTGATTATTAATTATTCAATGTTTTAAAGTAATTATTTTAGCTTCTCGAAATGAACGATGTTATAATTAAAACGATAGATTAATGCTTTAAATTCACTATTATTTATTATCATAACAACTACTAGCATTATTAGTAATTTATATAACTAATCAATTTAATACCAATAACATTGCTATTTATATATTTACTTCTTAGTTACAACAAACACTAACCTTATACATTATACTAATGTCAATGCCAATCTTCCCTAAAATAACTTAAATAGCAGAGAAATACAAATGTACAGACAAAACACTAATATTACACGTTATACTAATGTCAATGCCTGTTTACCATAAAAAATAACTTATATAGCAAATAAATACAACTGTACTTAACTTATGTATCGATGTACCGTTCCGTAGCTGCCTCACAACTGAACTGCCAACGTTTTACCCTACCATATTAGTAGTATGAAATAAATAAAAAAATCAATCAGTACAACTTCCGTTAGCAATATTCATATAAAAATAATTTAAAGTTGATAAGTGCAAATAACACAAAATAAAAATAGGTTTTTAAATTAATAATTGTTTACAAAATAAGTATATCTTGTCACATGCAATGCAGCAATCCAAAATCCAGTAGATTTTGAAAGTAATGAATTCCTGTGAAAGGTTGCCTTGATAATATAGAATCTAAATTACATTTTTAAACACAAAATGAATGCCTGTGTAAAGTAAATCGATTTTTTGCAATCGCAAATTTTCATCGACCAAAACCCGTCAGACGTTCTTTACTTTATTTTGTACTCGTGGCAAAACCAAAACTCATTAGCTTGACGCTGAGAAGCTGATTAACAGTTATATAGCCCAGAACCACCTAACACTCATTCGATTATCGAATATTGTTCAATAATCGAACCTTCCAATCAAATCATTTGATTTATTGACCGTTGTACTCACCCCAATTCGAATAGGTTCCCTTTAAGGCTTTTATTGTCAATGAATACCGGGGATCAATGGATATGACGCCTATTGTGGTGGACCATAATTGCTACGGTTACGTGTTGAAATGCGTGGATTTAAAACTATCGCAGAACAACTATGAAGGTTAGGGTATAACTGTATTTTATTTTATAGGGTCTTGTTGATACCTTACTAGAAAATAGTACTATCTCCACTCTTACGTCATCGTGAAGTGCATTTTGCTGTCACGTTGAGTTCGACTCCCACCTAATGCACATACTTGTACGAGTATGCATGAAAATATCCATTTGCATTAGATTGAGGTTTTCTAAGATAGAGATAAAAGGCAAGCAGAGCGAGGAGGGAGCGGAGGTCTAGGTCTCCGGTAACCACATTTACTCGGCGAAATACAACGAAAGAATTGCTTGAAATGACACTGGTCTTAGGGCCGTTAATGTCATCCTTTCTATATATTCTACATGCTTATGGTCGTATTAACTTTAGACTGACTTTAAGCTTTTTGTTCTATTATTAATAATGATGAGTACCAATCCAGCCCCATCGACACCGGTTAAACCACCTAACGCTTTCTTTAGTAATCAAAAAAGTTGTAATCTATTTGAAATTATAAGGATATCATAATACTTCGTTATCAAAGTAGTTTTAATCGACTGTTGGTGGAGCTTTAGTTATAATAATATTTACTTTTACAACAAACGCTTTGAAAAAAAATCTCAGAAACTGTTTTTATTCAGGCTTTACTGAAGCAAAAAGAAATGATTTATCTGTAACAGCGCTGACTATGTATTATAATCAGATACCTTTCGAAATACTTTAAATAAGTAAATACTTTTTATTATATGTGAAATAAATAATAAAAATCAAAAGATTTTATTGAACATTAAATAAAAAATGGACGGCCTCATTGCAACTGATTAGGCATAGTAATATATAATAAATAGGTTTTAATGTAATTAATGGTTTGTTTGCATATAGCGCATGCTTGGAAATATCAGTCACCAGAAAGCAGTTACACAGTGTGCTGAATGTATTATGAGTGTCTACAATCATTTGTAACTTATAAATCTTATAATTCATCATCTTCTTCTTATTTTCCCAAATTTACTTGGGTTCTGCGCAGTGCGTTTTCTTCCCATCTATGACCCTACTTCCCCTTTGCTACTTATTCTCTTTTCTAGCCATATCCTTTTTATCCATCTTTTTTTATAGTTGTCTACTTTCGTATCCATCAAATCCATTCATAAAACTTTTTTCACTATCAATAACCCTTCTGTACGCATTGCATATCCATTGTCCATACCATGATAACCTGATGTATTTCTTTCTAGGTGTTCATCCTAGTCACATAACACATCCATTTCAACATTTGCGTCTTAATCTATCTTATAACTGTCTATCTCTCTCGCAGCTTAAAGTCCACCAGTTGCCCGCGTTTCTTAAAAATTTCAGACGATTTTTTTAAACGTATTGTCTCTTAACTAATTGCCATCATAATAAATCATAAGACAAAAATCTTTCTACCTACTAACTCCAATCAAAGACTGCCACTCTTTCTAAAGTAAAATATTTATATTAGCAAATGAAGAGATTTGAAACTTGTTTTCAGAGGCTTGATTATAGAGTTAACTAGAGATATAGCGTTCCATTAGATCAAAGATATAGTTAGAAATATTGAAAATACTAGATCAAACAAAATTACTGAACATAATTTTTGTATACAGCTATGTGGAGCTGTGAGACCGGGGCCGTGGTGATTCTATATACGGGGCAAACCACGTATATAGAATGATCACGGTCTCACAAAAGAACAGTGTTTAGTAAGACTTTTGTTGCATTTCACCGATTAGGTGAGTTTACCAGAGAGGAGAAGGGTTTCAGCCTCTAATTATGGGGGCAATTATTATAATGCTGACGAGTTTGTTTGTTTTATTGAAGACGCTTATCCGAGATTGTGTTTTTTTGTGTTGATAGCCCATTTATCGAGAATGACTATGGACTATTTAACTTTACATTATTCCTTTAGAGAGACTCAAATGAAGTTGCGCGGGTCAACTGGTTATCAATATTAGTAAAAGGCGGATAATCTAATATCTATCAGTTTTTAATAAACTATGTTCGTAATATTCCCTATAATGTCTTACAGAATTTATTTTGCTAAGTAATTTGTTTTTTCTCTCAAACTGTCTAACAGGAAAATATATATTTTCAGTTATGGTTACATTAGGTGATGTTGTAAAGATATTAAACTCTTAAAAAGATATCAACAATATCTTAAATTGCTTTTAAAAATTAAATGATAAAATAACTGCTATTCCAGGATTCAAAGAAATTATTCCGCGGAACGATTCACACAATTTCCTTATTCTCGGATGTTCTGAAACTGAAATTCAAATTTGTCAACCATTTGATTTTGCATTTAAACTTCTTTGATTTATTTTTTATCGAATCGGGAGGAACCGTGAAATATTGGGATGAATAAGTTAATCTAAGCGATGTTTTTGGTAAACTTAGAAGAACAATGTTAACATGTAAATTTTTTACCTGTAAACAAGGAAATAACGACGAAAACTTTTGTTAAAAATATATTTCATTCACTGACTTCTTTACTTAAGAGTTTTTTTTAAGTTTACTTAAAAACAATTACGTAGACAGTCCAGTATGTTAAGAGTATTTTGTTTCTGATAATCTATGCTAAAATACTAGCAGATGTGACTAATACACCTTCACCATTAACCGAAAGAGTAACAGATAAGTAATGTTTCAAGGATTGTTAAAAAATATAACACCGTTATACTCCTTTAATCAGCAAATAAATAAATTATGAACTATTTTGAAATTATTATTATGAAATACTGGTGGACAAACGATGGGTCACCTGAAAGTAATCGAGTTCGGCCATCAAATGGAGACTCCTGACGTAAGTGCGTTGCCGCTTTTCAGTGCCCCAAAAATCATGGAGTTCTCCGAACAAATTAAATTCTAGACAGCGGTTATCTGTGAGGCCTACGGTCCAACCAGTCCTTTCATACCGAAGCATGGCTCCCTCACACCAAAAATACAAACATATATGTATATATAAATATACATGTGTGTGTGTATAGGTATGTATACACCAAATTTTAAAATAGTTGGTATATAATAAAACCTCTATCATTTAGTACCCTCCCACAAATGCACTTACCTCATTCTTTCTCAGCATCGCCCAATCGGTCGACTGGGAGAGAATGCATATATTTGTGCAAAAGTTGTAAAATAAAAATAAATAAACATTACGACATCGAACTGAACTTTCACATGACTTACTAAGTGAATGTAAAGATCCAAACCAGCAGGCTCAGCCAAGTTGACATTTTACAAGCGTAAACGATATTAGAAAACTATTCAAATTTATGGGAATGATATCATCTCAACGTAAAGTCACGTGGTCAAAACAAACGTATATATCTATACTAATATTATAAAGCTGAAGAGTTTGTTTGTTTGTTTATTTGTTTGTTTGAACGCGCTAATCTCAGGAACTACTGGTCCGATTTGAAAAATTCTTTCAGTGTTAGATAGCCCATTTATCGAGGAAGGCTATAGGCTATATATCATCACGCTAAGACCAATAGGAGCAGAGCACCAATGAAGAATGTTTCAAAAACGGAGAAAATTTATTACTATTGAGAGACGCAGACGAAGTTGCGCGGGTCAGCTAGTATACATATATATATAAATATATTGTAAATATTAATCCGATTGATTATTGTAATTAAACAATCTACGCGATAGTTTTAGTCTCTTAGATAAATAATGAAATGAAAAAGATACGAGATCAGTTGAAGAGACATTTCCGGACTCTTTATCTCATATGTATTTGTATTGT